CTGGGAGGGAGGGGCCTCCTGCATGCTCCCTGGCAGACCCAGAAGTGCTTCTGGTCCACTTCTGGGCCTGCTGCTGAGGGTGCTGGGGAGCCCCCCGTGCTCCTATGGGACGCTCCATCCACCCCAACATCACAGTATTCACAAGCCACCTGGTACCTTGAGGCATGTAGAAAAAAACACTTAAAGCTGTGTCTATATAACCAAATTGCCGATTTTTAAAGTGTCTCCTGATTCAAATCGGAGATTCCGAGAGCCACCAAATTGGGCCAAGTCTCTGCCACTCAAACTGAATCTGGGGCCAAAGCTGTGCACAGCCCTACTGATTAATTGACTAAATTTTGCCAGTAAACTGTTTCACTTTCTGTTGGAGTTATTGGGTGTGGTGTGTGTTTTATGCCTGTTCATGGCTGGCAGGCTACAGGCCCTATGTAAGAACTTCAGCTAGTGGGTTCCACACCTCCTACTGATGCTTCCTTTTTCCACCTGAAACTGCTATACTTCTTGCCCCTTTCCCACATGCTCGCTGACTCGCCAGATCTGAACACCAGCAAGACTTCCTGCCCTGCAGTCATACAGGCTTGGAGGCAGCCTGTTTTGACTAAATAGGTTCAGCAAACATGGTTCCTTTTGCTGTAGTTCTTCAGTGGCCTTGCCCTTCCTCGACAAGTGAGTCAGTAGAGTATGCGTTTGAATCGTCAGCTACAGGCTTATCTCTGACTGTACTAGCCCTCACCTGATTTCTGAAATATTTCTGTACATTTTGCACCACCCTAGAAAGACTTACTGTTGTTTTTAAGCTAACTAGAATAACAAACTCTCTATCAAGTTCACCAGCAAGATCTGGTGAGCATTAGTCACCTGACAGTTACAGCTTCAATCTGGGGTTACAGACCTTGTTTTCTTAAAAACAAACAAACAAAAAAACCCCAACAACTCCTTATATGATTCTCTCCAAGTGAAAGCTGTGTCCTTGGCATAAATTCCAAGGACTTCTAATGTACAAAGCAGGCCCTAGATGGGACAACCTGTAGTGCACATCTTTTTAGAATAAGGCAAGTATAGAACCACCTTGATTTTAAAATACTGCAGTAAACATGACTTGTGTTGCCAAGGGAGCTGACCAACATCAGAACCTTGCTGCTGTGCTTGGTGCTCTTTCCTTAAAGAGCTTTCAGTCTAAATAGATAAGACATGCTGGGGGGTGGGGAGAGATCACAGTAAAAGCAAAGTGACTGTATGGCAGTAAAATCCATGCTTGTTCTGAGCTCTTGGGGAAAGGGGGAGCTGGCGGATTTTCTAAATCGGTGGTTCTCTCAGCCTCTTGAGACTTGAAGCACCTTTTGGAAAATGCCAGACCTTAGTTTTCACTCCTTTTATCTTTTGCCTACAGAAAAATAATAAAGAAGTTTGTTGGCTAGAACTCAAAGATTACACCTATAGGTTTCTATTAAAAGTCTCCAGGCTTAGCTTGTGAATCATGCTTATAAACCTAAAAAGTGCTAACTTTGTGCAGCACCCTTGAAAAGATCTCAGGGTGCCATGACACCTGGGGAAGTGGGCAGGAACTGCTGCTCAAAATGGCAAGAAAGCATGGGGGATGAAACGGGGAAAAGTTCCCTGAAATATATACTGTGCATAAGAGCCTGGCTGTACTGTATTCATTTAAAGTAATTACAGCTGCACAAATGGGCTGGAGAGTTCATGTGGTATTTGGAAAAGAATAGATTTTTTGATGTCTTAAAGTATCTGCTCTTAAGGAAATCCTACTGGTGCTGAACACAATCCTATTAACCAGACTGCCAAGAGGGTCGATGTAAGCATTGTGATTGGAGCAGGGAGCTAGCTGCTTAAACCCTAGAGTCATGAGATTGCCTTGGTCACAAACTGACACTGACATGCCAAACTCGACCTCTGATTTCTGGGCTAGAAGGCACAATTGCTGTGTTACTGATCAAATGGATGCATCCCAGAGGGGGCCACATCTGGATTCCGATTTGCTCATGGCACTTGAGCACCTCACTTGCTCCCCTGTGTCCCTTGATATCTTGCCTTGGATCACTGGTGAGAGAGTCGGTTTGTCTCTGCCTCAACCTCTTGAAGGTAGAGGTGGTAGGCAGCAGAAAAGAGCTACCTCTTGGTCAGCAGTGGGATGTTGTGGTTGAAGGAAGTCTTCAGACGTTTGATAGGGCAGATGCTTGCTACTCCCTGCTAAGTAGGAAGTCGGAAACCTTTGCTTTGCTTCAAAGTGGGTGACCTGGGTCTTGGAGTCGGTGGGGCAGTTGGAAATTGGGAGAGAGGGAATCTGTCCAGCAAGCCTGTTTTGTAGAAGGGCAGAGTTGTCTCTTGTAAGCAGGTGTTGTATACAAAGTGCCAACTGTGAATCTAAAAACATACAGCTAGAACTGGACCATCACAGCTACATCTGAGCTCAAGCTGTCTGCCTGTCACTCTTTTCTCCTAATAAGATAGTGCCCAAAAAATGAAGAAACTCTTGCCTAGCTTAAAATTGCAGCAACTCTGACCTTGGCTATGTGACTTTGTGTTTAATTGTCTATTAGAAGCCATGTCATGTGCCCCACACACCTTCAGTACACAACTCTATGTGAAGTGCTTATGCCAAGGGTCAGGCCTGAGGAACATGCTAACACTAACTCTGTTCAGAAGCATGTGGTATGCCCACACCTGGCTTACTTCCTTTGCTCCAATCTACAGATGTCCTTTTGACAGTAGATTGCAAGATTAGTCACAGGACTTAGTCTGACAGGATGTCACGTGACTCCCCAGGATAAAACTTTTTAGCAGCTTTGAGTTGTATCTTATTTGCATGTTACACTACAGGCAGCATGGAACTCAGATCACGCTGAATGGTTTTAAGTAGAGCTGCAGAAGGAGTTGGGGTGTGTATTGCTTGACAGTTTAAGTTCAGCTCTGCCTTGAGAAACACATGCACTTCTTTATCCAATACTGCTCTTTCCTCTGTATTTAAACTTACTTGCTGAATTTGGCAACATAATTCTCTATTCTACTTGCAGGGCTGACATAACACCCTCTCCTGCAGTTGTATTCCGTTCATTTGTTCATTTATCAGCAAAATTGTAACCTAATCCTGCTGTGGCTAACACCTAATGAGAGCTTGCTCAGAGCAATATGGGCAAAAGTTGATCTGCAGAATGCATAGCTAATGATTACTGTACCTCTGTGGGAAGGAGCTGGCATTTAAAGTGTGGTTTAACCTTTTTTTAAAGCTCTAATTGCCTTTAGACATATCTATTTAAGATGTTCTGTCTTCTGTTGTACTGCCACTGCTGGGATTAGCAGAAGCCCTTAAACTTGATCCCCTTCATTATAGGGAGAGGTGATTCCTGGCAGAGCAGTCAAAAGGTAAAAGGTCTTAGCTGGGCTGAACTTCTGGACACTTGCGCAGCCCTTTAGAACTGTAATGAGGTGCAGGGCTCCATGGCTGGAACCCAGCTGCAGAGGGTTAAGGGGATAATAGCCTCCCTGATTTAAGAATTGGTTTAGCTGACAAGAGGTTTGGATCAGAGGAAGCTTAAAAGGGGGACTGCATCGCTCCTCCAGATCTGAAGGAAGTTTGTTGTGTGTTTGTGTTGTTTTTTTTTGGGGGGGGGGGTTGTGTGTTGTGCCTGTGCTTGTCTGGCTGCTGTGGGGAGGAGACCTGTTTTGCTTGCTGGAATGGGAAAACTTGTGGTGTTTCTCTGGTAATCTGGATGTATAATCAAGGGAGTGGCTTTTATAAAGAAACTGGCTCCTGAGTCTGCCTAAGGGAGTGTCAACCCACATCACAAAGTAACTAATCTTGCAAGCAGCTGGGGATAGGATTGCTTCCAAGTGACAAAATTAGGTGTCACTAACACAACTTAAGTCTTACTCACTCCTGCAGCCTTACAGCTGAGGGCAAGTGAAACTTGGGGGCATCTGAACCCCAAGCCTCTGGGCTTGGGCCTGCAAGTAGGATGTCCACCAAAGGCTTTGGAAACAGTTGAAGCCCCAGATGGGGATGGAGGATGTTTGCCGGTAGTAGGGCTCTTGTGGTTCTGAACTGACTCTCAGATTTGAAATTTGTTCTAGCTAATTGGGCTTGGAATACAGAAAACTTTAAAATAAATAAAAGCTTATACTGTATTTAAAAGGGGAGGGGGTCAGCAGCAGCATGCCTTGCTGTAGCTCATGTATTATTGCCCAGAGCTTGGATAGCTGGTTTTGGTGCATAGCTTGTAGACCAAAATATGAATCTGTGTGGAAGAAGGGATGAGCTCTGCTTAACTGCAGATTCCTGGTAAAGTTTGCATGGCCAACAGTTAAATAAGTAAAAATCTTTGTATACAGTTTTCCAGAAAGTTAGACATGCATATGCCTCAAAACTGCATACCAGTGAGGAACACAGTCTGCAGAGAAATCTCATTATGTGTTCTGGGGTTTCTTAGCCTTGCTTTCTGGAAGTGCTCTTCTCTTCTCCCCTGCCCCCAGCCTCCCCCAGGTATTAGTGTGTACCTGTAGTTCATAGTACTTAATTGAATCAGTAAACTCTCTAAATTTACATGCTTGTGGAACTGGTGTGGGAGGGTGATAAAAGGACCTGATTTTGGCGGGGGGGGGGGGGGGGGGGGGTTGGGTTTTTTATTATTATTTTTTGTACTTGGCCAAAAATAAAGCATAGTAACTACAGGTAGTATGTAAGTCTGTTACACATGGCTTTGAAAGAGTGGGAGGAGAGAAGGGGCAGAAAACATTGAATAGCTTCAATAACTTTAATTTTGGGGAATTAATAACCTGTTGGTACAGAAATTATTCCATGTCCTGATGCAAGATGGTGGTATCAGGTGATGGAAAATTTTAACAGCTTGTCTTAGTCATTTTCATACAAGGCTTTTGTAAATTTGGAATATCGGGGGCCTGCCATGTCTCCCTGGAGAAATAATTAAGGTGGCTCTCAAGGGGGGGCATGCCTAACATTGTATGTATTTTGTTTTTCCTTCAAGTTGCTGGTGTTATTACTGCTGACTTTCTATCAGGCTTGGTGCACTGGGGAGCAGATACCTGGGGATCTGTGGAGCTTCCTATAGTTGGAAAGGTTTGAGGCTATATTTTTCCTTAAATTAGAAACTTTTAAAATTCATTTAAGAAAACTTCCATGTTTTGATCTGTTTAATGTTTAGATCAGGCTAGCACCCCAAATGCCCATCTTTTGTAAAACACTTGGAGTTCTAGGGAGGACAGATGCAAAATAGGTGTTTTATAATGGCAATCTGTTGATTTGTCATAACACTAAAGTTTGGCAAAGGTAAAGGGATAAGTGGACAAAACACTTGGCAAGCTGTCAATAGCAGCATTCCCTTAATTCTTAGGTAGGCAGTATCATAGAAAATTAGGGTTGGAAGGGACAGTCATCTAGTCCAACCCCCCTGCTCAAAGCAGGGCCAGCCCCAACTAGATCATTCTAGCCAGGGCTTTGGGCCAGGCTGTTTTTTAAAAAAAAAAAAGCGCCCCCCCCCCCCCCCCAAGGGTTGGGGATTTCACCACCTCTCTAGGTAGCCTGTTCTAGTACTTCATCACCCTACTAGTGAGGTTTTCCTAATATCCAACCTAAGTTTCCCTTGCTGCAACTGGAGACCATTGCTCCTTATGTCACTTGCCACCACTGAAAACAGTCCAGTTCCATCTTCTTTGAAACTCCCCTTCAGGTAGTTTTAAAGGCTGCTATCAAATCCCCCCTCAGTCTTTTCTTCTGCACACTAAATAAACCCAGTTCCCTCAGCCTTGCCTCATTAGTCATGTGTCCCAACCCCTGAACCATTTTCATTGTCCTCTAGTGGACTCTCTCCAATTTGTCCACATCCTTTCTATAGTGGGGGGCCCAAAACTAGATGCAGTACTCCAGATGTGGCTTCACCAGTGCTGAATAGAGGGGAATGATCACTTTCCCTTGATCTGCTAGCATCGTCCCTACCAGTGCAGCCTAGTATGCTGTTAGCCTTCTTGGCAACAAGGGCACACTGTTGACTTATTCAGCTTGTCCATTGTAACCCCCATGCCCTTTCTACAGAGCTGCTGCTTAGCCAGTTGGTCCCCTGCTTGTAGTGGTGCATGGGATGCTTTCATCCTAAGTGCAGAACTTTGCACATGTCCTTGTTGAACCTCATGAGAGATCTTTTGGCCCAGTCCTCCAATTTGTCTAAGTCACTTTGAATCCTAGCCCTATCTTCCAGTGTATCCTATTGCTTTCTGTATGTAAGTTAGGTAGTATGTAAGGTCCTGTAATTATAGATATTATTTTGCTTCATGCTTTTTTGTGGGTGGTGACATTTGCTCTGTTCTTTCAGGCTTTCATCAGACCCTTTAGAGAACATCACATTGACCCCACAGCAATTACGAGGCATGACTTCATAGAGACTAATGGAGACAACTGTATGATGACACTAGTCCCGTTGACGAACATGGCCTACAAATTTGTTTCTCTTTCCCCAGGTAAGTCTCTAACTGGCTTAGACTTTTTACTGGCAGATAAAGTTTGTCCTTGAGAGATGGAAGCATTTAACATGCAATAAAGCTGATAAAAAGTAAAAACTAAAAAAAAAAACAAAAAACAAACAAAAAACAACAACAACTTTTGAGAGAGAAAGGGGAAGTCTTCATGGTCTGAAGTGGGCAAATACCATTTTTTCCCCTTGCCCAGAGGACTCTGTTGGATCACTCCACTAAAGCTTAGTAAAGAAACTCAGTAAGAATGCTAGCTTTGCTGTAAAATTTGCGTAAGTAAGTTGCCTGCATCTCACGCTTTACCAAAAGAATAGAGTTGGGTATTTGACCTGTCAAAATACGGTTAATTGACTAGTCGCACATCAGTCAAAAATTGTAGAAAGAATTGTCAACAGATCCAAATAATGCACAGAAGGCGCAACTTTTTCCATTAAGAAATGTGTAAAAATAATATTTCTGCCAAGAAAACTACAGAAAAAGTAGGGTGTCATTTTTTTCGTAAAATTGCTATAATCTGTGACCAGTCCCAAAAAAAAAAAAA